CAGCTGGTGGAGTGTGGAGTCACTTTGCATGTTAATGCACTCAAAAATAATTCAAGGAAATGTCAAGATTTGGTCTGTAGAAGCCAGCGCAATGTGAGTGCCAGACAACAGCAGAAAATTCAGGGGTGTGAGAGGTACTCAATTCTGCGACAAACTCCCTATCCCAAAGAAAAATATTCAGAACTGACGATTTTTATTCTTTTATTCTTCCTTTTGAAAACAACAATCTACTGCTCTCTCCCAGTTTGATTTCACTGACTACAGTGAGTTATTTCCTTTAGCATTGTTGTTGTTTATTAAAAAATCACTTGAGTTTTTAAGATGTGTGAATCCCATCTATACTTAGAATAGAATTGGCTGGTAACTACCACCGATTACAGTGAAAGTTTTTGGATGCTAAGAGCATGAAAACCAAGCTATCAGTTTAGGTGCTACAACCCAGGTTTGGGACCATATACACTAGATTCCAGCTCTGAAGCCCTATAATTTTACATTTTGTAATATATTATTTAATTTTCATAAAGATAGATGTACACTTAGAAACCAGAATTTCAAATAAACCTAAATTCAAATTTAAAAAAATAAAATAAAATTAAAAAAAAACAAACCAAAAGATAACAAATTCCTGCAGAATTGAAACTCAGAATTGCAACTATTCCAGTATCTATAAACTAGGAGGAAGCCTGTACTCCAGAACAATTTTCAGGAAGCTGTGCAGCTTTCCCCAATGACTCACATCAAGAATGTTAGAGAAGTAAACAAATAACCTCTTAATTTCTATTTAGAAGCAATTGCATCAGCTCAAGCATACTCTACCAAAACAGAAATGTTTTTCAACCTCACTGTCATGACAGGAAAATATACTCTGCTCTATAAACCAATTCTATGCTGCTTTATAAAGCTCTAAAATATTTTTCTTCTTCTGTGACAAGTTTGATTTATTAGAGTTTATTGTTCCTATTTTTGCCTTCCTAGTAAAGAAATAAAAGTTTAGCATAAAAAGAGCTGTGAAGAAGTTGTCCCTGTGAATAAGACTTTGAGTTTGTTATAACAGCAAGAGACCTGGATTTGAATATTTGACATACTCCGGAAGATGCTGGTCAAAGATAGGTACATGCGCTTTGGTGACCTATTCAAAGGCTTTCTTTGAAATACTCTCCCAGTTGTTTTTCATAGCAGGGCATGAACCACAAATGAAATCACTAAATTTGTGTTCCCTTGCTTTTGCCTAAAAAAAAAATTACTGCCATCCCTTAAAAGCTTGTTTTCTTTGTTGATTAAGCAGCAGTCAATTTTCCCTTTTCAAACAACCACTGAGCAACAGCCTCCCAACCCCCTTGGATATTTGGGCTGCCGGCAAATACTAAAACCTTGGTGACAAACTGCAAAAAAGCTCGACCTTTCCCCTTGTCCAGTGACCCCCTGTTCGATTTGTACTTTAGCTAACCAATACCTGATTAGATAATGTTCAGCTCTAGACCCACAAAATGAGATAAAATTCAAATTTATAGCTTTTCATTTAAATTGGTCTACAGCACTCTAATCGTGACCCAAGCACAACTGTATCACAACAAATTCTCTTTGTCCCACTGTGTTTTATGGCTGAAGTATATAAATGGATATAATAGACATTGTTTTCTTAGTCTTGCTCTGACAAAACTCTCTGTCGATGCAATAGAGAGTCTTGCTATAAGGCCCCATGAAATTCCTCAACCTCCTACAGCAAATTTTTATCATCAACTGCCTGGCTGCAAGATTTAACAGCAGCAGTTCCTCCAGCTTCCACTTCTATCCCAGCCACAACAGGCTAATCCCAGTATCAACTCAGATGGACGTCAGTCATGAAAACTAGAAGTCAGAAGTATCCCACAGCTGGAAACACCCAAAACTATGACAACCTTTCACAATGGAATAAGAATTTATTAGGATGTAGTTACAGTCCAAGTCTGTGTGTAGCTATAAACTCTTCCCTGCAATGTAGGGTTTTAGCTTGAAGTTTTCTAGTTTAAGACTCTTGGCTACCTAAAGCAATCCTAAACAATTGCAAAAAAGGAGCAAATCTTTCATAGCAAAGTCAGTAATATAGGCAGCATCAGAAAACAGCTGAAGGTGAGGTTTAGCTTTCCTTCCAAAAATATTTTAATGTTTATGCTAATTATTTTCTTGAAAAGACATTCTTCCTTCATCATCTTTGAAAATCAAACACCATTGTACATGTGGTATTTCACCTTAAACTCAGAAAAACACAGATAAAATTGAAAGACTGATTTTTCCAATAACATAATCATCTTCTCTGGAGCCACAAGACAGTGTATTTGAGAAAATTACTTAAGTACACAAGCATTAGCAACGTTACAACCCCATTATGTATTTCTCAAAGCAATGCACGTGTGAGGTAAAGAAAGTCCACCTTACTCTGAGTAAACCAGGACACAGCAAAATGCTTTCTTTGGCCTGTGGGATCAGTGAGTGTTGTGAGCAGGTTGAGACATCTCACCTTTTGAAACCACCAGACATGGCTGACCTCTGTAGATCCATGAAGTAATCTAGGAATTACATGCAATCAAACATAAGAGAATATAGTGACCTTACCTACATCAGTGCAATTCACTCAGCAAGCAAGTATCAGTGTGCAAAGATTTTAAAACCTCTCTGGCTACAAAGTCACTTAAATCCATGGTCAGTAACATACAGAAACTTTGGGTTTATCCTTCCTACATTTAAAATATAAGAATGAAATTTCACTACTATATCAGCTGAATTCCCCATTTATTAAATGACTTATTGGCACCCAGCAGGTCAAATGCCCTGTTTTGCACAAGTGCCCATTCAGGCAGAAAACTGGCAACAGAAAAGCTTGAATTCCCATGACTGTACTTAAACCTCAATACATGATATCTTTCCCTCGACATCCCACACTTCCTTTGGCACTGCCTGAACCCACACACTAGTAACAGCTTCTTTTCCCCTTTTTAATTCCAAGGTACAAGTCAAAGGAAGTCATGGTTTCCAGAGCAGTGTAATGATGAGCATTTGGGCTGGGCACTGGTAAGACCTTCTCCAGCACTACTAGGTATCTCCACATCTGTCCTTTATCCCTAACCTTCACTACATGCCATTTTATTTATTGTGTAAACTCTGGTAACTAGCATTTCTCTGTCTCCCTTCAATTATAATATATGTACTTAACCCACTTGTTTGGAAAATGTTCTATTTCAAGCTCCCCTGAATACTGCAGAGTACTTCTAGATGAGTGGCCAAGTTGCAGAGGGACTTGCCTGTTGATTTTGTGTGATTTTGCTCCAACACATTTCAATAGCATCTCCCCAGCTGTCCCAAATACGTAACACTGTTCAGATGGCACAAATCCTGCAGCTTGAAAGGGATTCTCTCTGCCAGCTGGGCTTCCAGCCCTATCAAGACATGTATTTCTTGTCTGGATTTTGTAGACCCCCAAATCCTACGTATCTTAAGCAGGAAAACTACTCTCTAATATTGCAGCATATTATCAAGACCTAAGGGTGTGAAAATCAAGATGAGTTTCCCTCAGTTTTACAGGGTTTATCTTGCATTACACCAACTGAGGATCCAGTCTAAAATACCTTAATTTTGGAATATGTTAAACCTTCAAGTACAGCCATGTCTCAGCAGTTTTGCTCCAATTTCTGTTATCAATATCTGAACTTAATTGTGGTCAAGTTAAAGGTCAGATTTTATGGTTTCCTGGTGCCTTTTTCAAATAATAAAGATTTCTCACCAGCAATTATATTGCATCAGGGTCTGTTAACTTGATAGAGTGCTGCCAAGTCTATAATTTCTCCTGACACTATTCTGTCATATTGTCACAGATCTCAAGAGTTTAAATAACTGAACAGAAATTTTGGTATGAACTCACTGAGTATTTATGAACAGTTAAGAGCAAATAAAACCTCTATTTTCCACCATATCTGCAAGGCTCTGCCCTACAGCAAAACTCCATTTTTCCTGGGAAAATGAACCTCCCATCTCTCCAGAGGTCAGCAGTGCCCCTAGAGAGCTGTGCAAACTCTGCACTTCTCTCCTTATCAGAAACAAAAGGAAACATGCAGATGGAAAGCTGAGATTGCACTCTGTTTCTACAGAACGTTGTTAAAACTATGAATAAAACCATGCAAGAGCATTTGTTACACCATAACACAACTGGCAACGTGCACCACTTGGGGTCTTAAGCCCTTGCCATGGACCTGCAGCTCAGCCAGCTCCCCAGTGGTATCGCAACAAGGAAAACACGTTGCCCCTGAACACAGGAAAGCAAGAGGCAACCGCCATAGTCGCCAAAGCAGGCCCTGACTCCTTCAGGAAAAGCAAGATTTCTCAGAGCACTTGAAGAAGTGACATGAGCCACATCATCCCCATGTGTCTGGGTTTGACACCTGCATCCAAACATACTTCACCAAATGAATGGCAACATTCCCCTTGAGTTAAATGGAAGCAGGATCAAATCCCCAGCTTTTGAAGATCCCAGGTAGCATAAGGTTCTGAAGTAATGATTTTAGATGCACAACACTAGATTTTAGGGCTACTCTAATCATTGTTGACAGAAAGTGGCAATTACAGAACCCTGAAATCGGCATCCAGTTTCTTTTCAAACAGGTAGTGCAGCGTCATTCACAAGTCCCTCATGCACAGACATACTGCAGGACTCTCCAAGAGCAGGCTAAAAATGGTACTGAAATGTTCCAACAATACAACTTATTCCTCCTTTCTCCCCAAACAAGGCATCAACTGCCAATACCCAGACACGTTTCATGCATGAAGAACAACAATAATTCCTGCGTTTTTTCCTTTTTTAATTTACACTTGTTTCTACCCAGAAAGACGTGAAAGGCCAAAAAGCAGTCTTCATGCATACAAATATTCCCCAACTGCTGCAGGACAGGACTCAAATTCTGCAAATAGTTCTGTGTTTATAGACACGCAAGAGAGTTCAACAGACCGAAAGAATGTACACAGTATCTTACCTCCCAACCGTAACTGGGATCTTTAAGGTGTGGCTGCTGCTCTCCTACAAAAGGGCCAAATTTTTCCCCTGCTTCAATCTTCCTTTTAGTCCATATCCCTAATCCCGCTCCAGGAACGTTGGATTCTCGGAGCTCAAACTCTGAAGGAATGGGAATGTCATCAGGAATATATATTGGAGCCTTGTAAGGAGAGCTTTCCTTTGGTGTGAAAGCTTCACTGGAGGTTGCTGGAGAAGATGGCTCTTGGATGCTGATGGATGCTGGACACTGGACATTTGGAGCCTCTCCATCAGCTTCTGGTGCTTCCTCCAAAGGAAGTTCAGGAAAGCTTTCATACAAACATTCATCACCTGTAAAATAAAGCCAAACAGTAGGATTTGAAGTACCTGACAGATTTTGCATATGAAACCCTTTCAGCCTGCGCATAAAATGAAGAAGACTGCTTGGAAGACAGGCAGCACCTTCGTCAATCACTGGTACTATAGCAGAGCCTCACCGGGGAAGGAGCTGAGCCTTTTCTCTATTGTAGGCCTGGGGGTACACAGGGTTTCTTAATATTCCCGACATCAAAAGTGGTTTACATCACTGAGCACAAGCAAGGGAATTACATACAGATGTATATGCAGGCACACCCTATTGTCCAATCTGGTCCGGATATAGCGCTTTGCATTGCATACACTTTGAAATTACAACTGAAAGCCAGCATTATACGTTACAACTGAAATCTAAGTGAAGTGAAAAGCAGGAAAGCTTTACCGGTCTTTCAGAGAGACAGATTGAACCTAAACCAGCCAAAATTAAGTTTGATGGCCTCCAATTAGTTTTTAGAGGAGAGGATCCAGCCTACCACACAACTCTTGGCAAGAACTTCAGCTGATGTAAATCAGCATCTTACCATTGACCTCCGAGAAATGCAATGGCCTAAAATAGGTTCAGGATCCAAACAGCACCTTACAGAGAACATGAGCGTTCTCCTCTTACAGTTGCAAAAAAAAACCTGGGGCAGATCCAAAACACATAAAAAAAAAAAAAAAAAAAAAAAAACCCTTCATCTCTGGGCCTTAGCAAGCAAAGAAAAAAAAAAAAAAGAGGGGAAAAAAAATTCACTAGTTTTGACAGCTCAAAATTTAAGGCTGATTGTAAATTCCTTTTAGTCAAAAAAGGCCAAGTGACTTCAGCAGGGGCTTTAACTGCACCAGCAATAGAGCACTCAATAATACATGCAAAAGGAGCAAAAAACCAAACCAACCAACCAATCTCGATTATTTACATTTATGTAACTTTATTAATGTTACTGTACTTCTCTTACACATCAGAATTCATCTCACTTAATTCTAACCTGATAAGAGGCAAGAATATTATTCTCCAAGGAATTCAGTTGAAAGGTTGAATATTTAAGATCTGCTCATGGGGATATTTGCATAATAATACAGTTGGCCCAGAAATTAAAGTGTTATGCTGGGCTTGGCATTCAACATTACTCTGCTTCGGTGAAGAAACAGGAAACTTCAAAATGTCCGTTCAATTTTTTGCTCATTTAAGAAACTATCCATGGTAGATTAGCACTGTATGCCTTTTCCAGTGGAAACTGGTCATAACCCATTGTCTCTCAAATCTTTGTTACATATTATCTCACAGTTTTATATCTGTATTTTCATGCTTCTGGTACTAAGACAAACACTGAGACACAACAAACCATTTGAATAGATTGCTCCCATCACACGACTGGCAAACTGGATTCTTCATCTGTGAGCAATTTATTCACAGCCATGAACTGCTTTTCTTCCTTTTATGTGGCACTGGCTATGACCTCATACATGCCACAAAAAAGTTCAGCTACCCATTCCATTGGCCTCTGGCTTGGCAGACTCCCCCTGCACTTAACAATTGAATCTAATATTGATTATTTTGTCACTTTTTCTAATAACTGACACTGAGCAGTAGAATATCTCAACTGACTCTACCATTTAGCTGAAAAGGACACACTGAGGGATTTTCCAATGATTATGCTTCAGAAATTCTATCTGTCACAGCTCAGTGGTGCTGAGTTTGGCAAAGATGCTGAAGGGTTCATGAAAGCACTGGTGCAGAGAGCTTGCTCTGTACCTAACACCTATGAGCCCACACCTGTACTTTCCTGGCCACAGCAGAACTCAACCTGGACTGCAAGTGACAGAAAAGACATTAAAAGGGTAGAGACAGCTCTACCTGGATGCCATCATCCACTTTGCCCTGCACTGAGGCAACCAATTTACCAGCCATCTGTGTTACATTGTGGCATTGTGGCATTGCGGCTGCCCCAAACGTGGCTCTGCTCCAGTGTGGTGGAACAGTGACAGAGGCTGGTCTGTGGATCCTGGGCATCCCCAAACCCCCAGTGCAGTCCTTGACTTTACAGGCCAGCAGCAATGCTGCATCCACCGGGGGCAGGCTTGCTCCCATTCAGATGTCTTCCCCCAGCTGTTTAGATTGCAGTCCTGCCTAAAGGACTTCAGATGGTTTTGAAACAGGAGAGAGGGGAAAAAAAAAAAAAAAAAAGGAATAAAAAAACCCAAAATACAACCCATGTATGTACATGGGGTGCAGGAAGAGAAATCACACAAGGAAAGTGATCTGGATGATGATAAGCACATGGCTCACTGAAGAGGGGATTTAAAAACTTCAGGCATCTTAATCCTACTGATTTTCCATGACAGCTGGGTGCCTGACACTCAAACTCCTTAAAAAGCTCATCTTAAAGTCAATGCTGTTGCCCCCATTCCACCAAGCAGTGCCCCAAAAAAACAAGGCGCTCTGTGTCCCACGGCTACACTCAGCTCTCCACCAAACATTGAAACAGCTCAGCCAAATTGTCAACATAAGCAACGACCTGCTCTTTGCCTTTCCCCAAAGGGCTACCTTCCTCAGCTTCACTTCCCAGCAGTGCCTGCCCATGAGCCAGCACAAGCTGAGCCTTAAACACTTAAGCAAGCATAGCTTTACAGATGTTTCTTCTCCCCTAGGGACAGTCCAGTTCAATTTCTCTCTCACAGGCTCAAAGGCCTCAGTTATACTTATCTCAGTCATTCTGGCTATACTCGGTTTTAGCCATATAGGGTCAAACCTGCAGCTGATAAATTGGCTTCTGGAAGCCTGGCAGGGAGACAAGTCCATTTGCTGGGTCTATTGTGCCTCCTTTGATTTCCAGCAGCCACACCCAATGTCGTTGTTAAACACGGGCTTTCAGTTTGAAAGCTCTGGAAAATGCAATACGCCTGTATGCCCCACAGCCCTACCAGTGTGGGTAAAACGTAGTACCGAAATATTATTCTGCCCAAAATAGGAACATTTTCTAGCAAAAATGTATTTTAAAACCTCAAAGTAAACAAGAACTTGAATTACAACTGACCATGTGATCAGAAGACCATTAAGACATATTTGTGAAATTAATAACAGAAGGAGCTATATTAAAACCAGTGCACGTGAACCAGGGATCTGGTCTTCATTTTCAAAGGGTGTGGAACTATCCCCCTTAAAATTTACACCTACATGGATCAGAAGGACTTCCAGCAAAACTGTGAGATATTGACTGATAGGAAATCTTTGTAAGGTCGGAATTAGATCCAGGGACAGTGCTGATAAGCATCTTTTTCCCAGTGACTGCATAGCTTTCACACAGAGAGCACTGCCGTTTTGAAATTCAAGATGGCTTCTTTAAAGTCCAATAATTATTCCCACTAGAAATGGTACGAAATTAAAATTGAGGCCCCTGATAAGGAAACAGATGAGATTAGGTAACGTGGAAGCTTGAATATTAGCCTCCATAAAATTCTTCACCACTATTTTATAAAAAAAACATGAGTAAGCTACAAAGGAAACCCAGGAGGAAAGGCTAATTGCTACTAAAATACCAGGATGGACACCTGCATTTGCACTTTTGACACAACTTTGCACGCCAGCAGGAAAAAGTCCACGTGGCTGCATGCTGTGGATGTGCCTGATGAGGTCAGGAGAGTGACATGCCAAAGCTAGTGCCATAACTTCAGGGCCTGGGGTCATTTTGAGACCAAGAGGGCTCCTGTGCATGGCTGGGAGGAGGAGAGAACTTCCTTCCATTTGAATGTTTCTTAGCAGTTCAACATGCTTTTCCTCTCCAAGAGCAATTAGGTAGGAGACATTAACAACTGAGGGAGGCAGAAGTTGCTGAACACAACCCAAACCACTTTCCACTGGCTGTGATTGCTAGTGCAGCAAAGGCATGCTGTTTTCAAAAGCACGTGGGGCCACACGTTCAATGAAACCATGCTTTTCTGCAGTTGAAATGCCATGCAATGGCATCTCGTGTCAAGGGGATGTGTTACACGTATCAATTTTGCAGGGTGATCTTCAACTTGAAGTTCACACAAAGTCCTTCAAGGATCAAGCCTGTATCCAGATCTTCAGACCCAAAGCCATCCCTAACAAACAGAAACGTATCCATGCAGACTATCCATTCTTCCTTTCTTCAGGCAATTTGTGCCTGAGGATATTCATTCCCAAGCAATCATTGACTGATAAAACCTTTAAGTGCATAAATCTGCTCCTCTGCTCTTGGAACTATGCACAGGGCCACCAGTGACTTAGTCATAAACTGGATGACTGATTACTCTGGATGAAAGAGGTAGGCTGGAAGCAAAAGCATCTAGACAGCCTACCTCAGAAGTGTTTATAATGCCGTCATCTTCCAAGCAGGATAAAGTAATAGCTGAGATAAACATGGAGGTGGCTCTTTGCAATGAGAAGATACACACTGATTCATGACTGCAACTTCTCAAAGGTGAGAAAGATTTCCCTTAGCCTCAAAGACTAGACATCAGAAGGACCTGGCTCTGTACAATGGGAGAAGCCCATCACATGTCAGGAGATTTGAGCTCTGCTAGCTCTGTTGATATGAGCCTTTGGCTAGGATGCGTCAATGAAGGCTTTGGGGAAATGTAGTAGGATCAGGTAAATTAGTCCCTTCTTCTGCATGAGGCCACAGTGGACCTGAATGTACCACGAAACACTTAACTGGATCCTTGAAAGAGACCTGCGAGCTTTTATACTCATTTGACCTAACATTTCTATTCAGTGCTGAGGAAACAAGCATAGAGTATTTGCAGGGATATCTGAAAAGGAGACAGGCATTTCCTGTTGCATATAAATGAAAGACCTTTATCTGAATTTGTTTGAACAAGTTTAAAAAAAGAAAAAAAACAAAAACAAATCAAAAAATACCAAACAAAAAAAAACTAGGGACTGATTGATTACAAATTATACCCACATTGGTCTAGAACACAGGAGATCAGGAAAAGCAGAAAATCAAAAGAAAGTCATTAGATTCAAAAGGAAT